GCTGGCTGCTGCCTCCTCCTCCTCCTCCTCCTCCTCCTCCTCCTCCTCCTCCTCCTCCTCCCCCCACCCTCCCTCCTCCTTGTGTTGCTTCATTGTTAAGGATGTCTGCTTGGTGGATGGAGCGTTCGGTGGTGTTTCGGGGTGAGCAGGAAGGAGCCGTGGGTGTTTGAGCGCGCCGGGGAGGGAAGTCCCGTCTGTGGAGGACCAACCGTCCTGCTGGGAGCCGTCCCCCTGGCTCTGGAGGTGGCTCCCGGCCTCCTGTGTGGCCAAGCCTTGGTCATTTGCTCTGAGTCCTTGGAAGGAATGTGAGGCCGTGAGGGGAGAGAAAGGCTTGTTTGGAGAGGGTGGAGTGACACGCAGCTCCCAGAATCCAGCTCAAGGGGGGAAGTGGCTGTTTATTTTTGAGTAGTAAAAAAATTTTTTTAAATTAGATTTAGATATTTAGTAGAAATTACATATGACATGAATGTTTCCTTTCTCACAATAATTCAGTTTTAAACGCTGCTTCTTAGAACCATAGATTTTCTGTCCTTTTTTTTTTCTACATGAATGTTAGAATTTGGATTTGGTCACCTCTACGTGTATTTCAGGTTTTTCACCTTGTTGGGGAGAATGTGAACCGTGGGACAGCTCAGAATGACAGAGAACTGCCTCACGCCGGCCCTACCAGCTGCCCTTTCTGTCCCCGCAGCCGGTCTGCAGGGCTGTGGCTGCTGCTTTAGACTTGCAGTGGCCTCCCCCCCCCCCCCCGCCCCTGCCTGTACCCCGAGGATACCCCTGCACTCCTCACGGAGCTCGGCTGTGCCCGTGCGGGATTGTCTGGGCCTTGGCTTTCTGAAGTCTGCGGCCGAGGAACACCGGCGCCACTGGTCTCTTTTACTTCACTTAGCTACACTCACTCCTTCCTTCCTTCCTTCCTTCCTTCCTTCCTTCCTTCCTTCCTTCCTTCCCTTTTTCCCTCCTTCCCTTCCTCCCTCCTTTTTCTCCCTCCCTCCCTCCCTCCCTCCCTCCCTCCCTCCCTCCCTCCCTCCCTCCCTCCCGTCTTTTGTGTTCCACTAGGCATGAATCACCCTTTGCTTGTCTGGCTTGACTGGTGTCACTGAGCCTGAAGCCCCCAGTTCTGTCCGTGTTGGTGTGGGGGCAGAATTTCCTGGACGCTGACCACATCCTTCTTCAGTCTTCGCCTGCGGTACTGTGAGACTGCCTCTGGTTCTGCCCATTGTTTGGGGGTGCATATTCACTTGAGTGTTTCTGCGTTTGGGGTATAAGTACCGCAGAGTTGGGAAACCGGATTGTATGGCCGTTCTGTTGTTGGCGTTTTCAAGAGAAAGCTCATTTTCCCCTCCCAGGGGCCACCTGCCTAAGCGATCTTTCTTCCATCTTTTGCTTTCTTTCTGTTTGGCCTCTTTTCTAAAAAATAAAAAATACGAGAGCCTTTTCTGCGTCTCCGATTGTGCGTGGCAGTGGGTGGCACCAGACGCTGATGGCCAAGGGTGGCCGCATGATGCCGGGGACGGGGGCCACGGAGGGGACTGAGTCTCAGCACCCCAGCACCGTCTCTTGGGACAGGCAGGAGACAGCCCTGGGGGGCGCTGGCAGGGCTGGACCCAGGCGGCCTGAGAGCCCCTATAAGGTGCTTGGACGCTGGGAGGGAGAGGCGGGGGGAGGGGGGCAGGCGGCGGCCGTGCCTGAGTGTCGCGCACCGTTCCTTTCTCTCCAGATTTAGCTTCTGGGTGTCGGGGACCGAGCCCAGAGCCTCATGGCTGCCGGTGTCCCCCCCCCCCCCCCCGCCACCCACCCCCGCCAGACTCTGGCCGTAACCTGCCACCCCCGGCTCTCCGGGCTGGATCCCCGTGATGAATGCCACGTTTTCCACGGCCCACCTGTTCCCGCTGGTGCAGATCTGAGGGACCGTGGGGCGCCCCTGTCGTGATCCTGTGCACTCCCCTCACCCACTCGGGAGCCCCTAAAGTTCCCGGGGTTCCGGGCCCCACACCCATGGCCGAGGCTGCATCTTGGTTGGCGCCCACGTGTTCTGCAGTTTCTGTCTTTCACATCCCGACTCCGACTCTGCTTACTAGGGAGCACACAGAACAACTCTGGCACTGTGTTTTGGGGATGAGGCTTTGGGGAGGGAACTGCATTAAAGGCGGCTTCTCAGTGCGTGCTTTGAAGCTTCGGGTTAAGTCTGTTAAGTCTCCCGGACGGGCCCTACCTGGAGCTGGCGCAGGCTGCCAGCTCGCTCCCAGTCTTTCATGCCGCCTTGGAGAGTTTTCCTTCTCTCTTGAGGCTCCCAACCGTCTCCTCCCGACGGGTGCAGGCTCTTCTGATCTCCCTCCCCTCGCTTCACCCCTGCATCCTTGAGGGCCAGCGTCACCTCCGCAAGCGATGACTTCCATAGGGCTTCTGAGCAGAAATGGGTTCCATTGTGTCGGATTTGTGTGTTTCTTTTAGACTATCATCACCACATTAAGTGCCGAGCACAGTGAAGGGAATTAATTCAGTTGTGTCATACAAAACCTTCAATTCAAGTGCAAGGAACTCGAAGAATTGTCAGTTCCCGGAGGACCCCCGAGGATGGGAGCGGAGCCTGCCCCCTCCGGCAGACGCACAGACCGGCAGGCAGGTCTGTTTGTGTTTAATGAGCTGACTCGTTAAGTGCTCAGAATGGTAAAAAGCGTTCCTGAACGCACTGGAGATCAACTGTTTTGAATGTACTCAAGTAGCCGAGTTCATCAAAAAGCTGCCACTTGTCCTGACCGCGGCAGGACAGGACGCTGGCTTGGGGATTTGCTTCGGACGCACTGGGTTCTGCATCTCAGGACTGAATTGCTCCTCCCTGACTCCTCGTGCTTTTTCTCCCTGGCTCAGAAGGAAACAGAAATTGTAGCAGGACTGGAGATCGAGTTATTCAGAGAAAGATGATTGCTCTCAAAATATTATTTTCATAGTACTTTTCTTAAAATGCTCAGGACACATTTTTTTTTTTTATAAGAGATACTAGAATTTCTTTGAAAATAAAATACACTGTCATGTGCATTTCAGTCTCTGGAAGTTGCTGGGGTAGGGGAAACATCCGTGGCGACCAGAAAGGCCTTTCGTAGCACTGAATCATTTCTTGGGAAACTGCTAGTATTTGGTTCATTACCACAGCAAAACAGGCTGAAGTGATTGTTCAGCCCGGGTATTTATGTTTTGAAACTTTCTGGCACCTTCCACATAATTTATTGGGATGGGATTTACAATGGCACTGAGAAGCATTACTCTAAAAATTCCATTCCATCCGTGTTTTTGGGTACAGTGTTTGTAGATGCTAAAAATATTTTTAATTGTCTCCTGAGATTCATGGGATCCATGTGGAAGAGACAAACTTGGTGTTTATAGTTTGAGTCAGTTAATTCTCAGTATCCATATCGCTCATCTTTCAACATTTATTTTTTTACAAAAAAAGTAATCACATACAGACTTTTTATTCGCTTGCAACATAAAATTAATGTGAATTCCATTTCAAACTAACCACCATCAAGAGTTTCTGAAAGTCTGGTTTGTATTTTTCAAGTGCTGTATGTGGACGACTCGCTTAGATTTGATTTTTAGAGAAATACATCTTAAAAATTTTTTTCATCAGATTGTAAAATTGTGGGTGACCACGACAATGCCAGTCTCGTAGCTTGGGTCACTTCACGTCCGTCTTTGACCGTGTATCTCCACCTCCGTGTATTCCTTTTATGCCATTACCTACCGAGTTTCTGGGAAGAGAAATGTTCTTGACTTGTAACAAAACAAAACAATTCTTGGGATTGTTCCTTCTGTTTATTTTTCTTTGACAGGGTTGATTTTTGAAGCCGTCAGTGTTAATTTCGGTGAGAAGTTCATGACTCAAAGTGCCTTTAAAATCACTGCATATTCTATGGCCTCGTTTGTTTGGCTCGTCTTGTTTTTCCTTTCGAAGTTAGAAGAGTGTCTTCCTGCTTTCCAGTCCTTCTTGTATTACTGGGTGAAGGGAACTCCATTGAGTCTTGGGTTTTATTCACTTATCAAAGATAGTTTCTGTTGACTCGAGTTTGATTTGGATCCACCGGTTCAGTGTTGGTTGTGAGCGTCTGTTTGATATGTATGCATCTGTATCCCATCACGTTTTACTTGTTTTCGTTTTTCTGTATTTTCGGTTTGGCCAATAAAAGCTTCTCTCTTTCTTCTTGGCTTGAATTTTTTTTTTGAAGAGCCAGGACCTGGTGCTTTTCCCCTTCCATCGTTGTGCTGTCTGTTCAGGCGAGTGGAGCACGCGTTATTCTTTTGCTGGTCTCTGGTCTCCCAGGCGGGAAGGAGAGAGGGAGCAGTGCTGGTTACTCGCTTGTGTTTTCCTTCCCCCATCACCCGTGAATACATGACTTGATTTATCTTGATCAGCCTAGTAACTTGCTCCACATTTTTCCAAAAGTGCAAAGCAGTTTCAGCTAAAAATACACATATCAAAATGCTCCAGAAGTTGTGGCCACAACTCAGAAATGCTGATCAATTTTGAAAATTTAAATCAACCTCGGCCATGAAACCGAGGGAAGAGCCACTGCGGTGCGGGCCGGATTCCCAGGAATTCACCGCAGCCCCGTTCTCCGCCGGGTCCGTGCTGATGGTGCCAGACATCCCAGGGCAGATGCAGAAAGCAGGAAGCATCACTGAGTCGAGCCCCAGCGCCAATTTGGGGAAAGCAAATGAAAATGTAAAAGAATATTTTTCCACTCCTGGCGTCTCGACATAAGATGGCAAAATCCATGGTTAGCTGAAAAAACTCACAGAAATGGCTAACTTTGCCAGAATGGCTAACTTTGCAAGTCTCTCTTGCGTCGAAAACGCTCGTGCATAGGTTTGTTCCCCGAACGCAAATGAAATCACTTTACCCGCGGTCGGAGTCAAAACATACGTGCCTTTCAGTGAGGGGGGCGTGTTCCCACAGATGCCTGTGGGGGGCTTTTTACCAGAGTCTTTTGATGTTGTTTCAGGTGCCAGTTGAAGAATGGACGATGATGACTTTGGTGGATTTGAGGTAAGTGCTGTTACTCACCGGTTCTTGCCTTCCGTGGGATTAGCACAAAGTGCTGTTTTGACACGGCGTGATTTTGTTGCTGGCATTTGTGATTCTCATCTCTCATGATCATTTTTTAAAAATTTATTTATTTATTGAATCACTGTGGGAAAGGTTACAAAGCTTTCAGGTTTAGGTCTCAGTCATGCAAATATCAAACACATTTCCCTTTACCAATACTTATTTTTTACCATGAAGAACCCCAATAAAACCCCACCCCCACCCCTCCCCGTCCCTGTGAGGCAGATGAATTCTAGTTAACACTCTATCTGCTTTGATTAGATTCATTGTTTCAATAAAAGATTCACCACTATTATTTAGAGTTTACCCCCCGCCCCAAATCAGACATGCTGAAAAAGCATTGTGAAGTGATTTGCTTTCTACAGCTGGGTTCAAGAATTAAATGTTGGTTTTGGATTTCTGCTATTTTACTTATTGACCCTGGAAGTATTTCTACTGAAAGTCAGATAGTTAAGAAATTGGTTTCTGTGCTCTGGAGTCCTGGCCGTGCTGGAGAGCCACTCGCGGGGGGCAACCGGTGGCCTCGGTAGGGCGTGAAGGGCGGACCGAAACGCCCCCCTTCCCATGAGGTTTTAGTGGCCCCCACACCCCCGGCTCATACCTGCTGTCCACAAGGCTCCCATGTGGCCGCCATCTTTCCAGAGAGGAGAGGGCGACTGGGGCAACACCCTTTCCCCTCCGGACAGACATGATGGCCTGGATTAACGCATAGTCCTTTCACTTTTCTGCTCCAAGCTGCTGGGTTCTGCATTAAGTCCTTGTGCTTCTGGGGCCATGGCTGTGCTGGAGAGCCGCTAGTGGGGGGCAACTGGTGGCCTCGGTAGGGCGTGAAGGGCGGACCGAAACGCCCCCCTTCCCATCTCATGATCATTTTGAATGTCAATCTGGAGTTGGAAAAAAAAGGGAATCAGGGAAAATTGAAGTCTCTGGCCTGGGAAGCTGAGCGTGCCCGTGTTTGCATTGAGGACTGGCCTTGGTGCAGACCTGAGCCGGAGGGTGCTGGGCTGGGGCGATGCCTGGGGGAGACCCTGGCCCAGGAGCCGCCCGGCCTGCAGGGTTTGCCTACTCTCACCGGGCATGCTGGTGGAGCACTCTCAGCCCACAGCTGGGTGCCCTGCTGCCAGGCGAGGGGGGTGTTTGTGTGGGTGGGTCTCTTCCTTAGGTTTGAGTTGGGCTCGTTCTAAGCAGCACTGTCTTCTCCGTGATCCTTTTTAGTGTGTGTTCATTTTATTGAAATCTTTCACCACCCAGTTAATTTTATGGAACTGGTAGAGTCTTGCAGGCGAATCTCTGGAGTAGGGGTTGGGATGCCTGAGCTCGAGCCCCGGGAGACCGTCAGGTGAAGCCTGGCTGTTGTGGGTTTTTTTTTTTTTGGATAGAGTAAGACTTTCACCTAGTTTGGAACTGTAGTTGGTAAAAGGAGTTGTTCGGGAGTGTGGTGTGTGGCATAAAGAGGAGGAATGAGGTCCTAAGTGTATGTTCTGTCTAGTGAATACCCTGGGCCAACGGTTCCGATGATTGACTGTCAATCGATTATTGATTATTGATTACCAGGACATCATGTTCTTTTTTAGATTATTTTCTTCTCCTGGTCGTCACTGCACGTCAGTGAGTGTGGGGATATTTGCGGTGTTGAGCCTCCTGTCTTTGTGTTTTATCTAAATCTGATCTTCGTTGAGTGTGTTTGTGTGTTTTCGGCCTTTCCCCGAACATATTCGCGTTTCATGTGACGCATCTGACGTTAAAAATATTGCTTAAAAATTTGTTAAAATTATTTCTCTTTTGAGGGCAAGTCGGAAAGACTTGCTAGAGGATGTAAGAAACGTTTTAGATTTCGTCGTGGTTCCTTGTTTAGGGGGTTGGTTATTTGAAGGTTAAAACCCAGCACGGTCGCCTTTGTTCAGCGCAGGTGTTCTCGGCCCGCCTGGCCTTGTCAGAAGAAACGTCCCTCCAGGCCCCCGGAAAACGGCCTCCTTTGAACAGACGGCGGCCCCCGCCGCGCCGACCTGTGGCCTCTGTTGCGTCCCCCTGCACCTGTGGTCCCCGTGCTCAGTAGGGGCCCAGTGCCACCCACTGAGGGAGATGGTCGGAACCACGCTCGGCTCATCATGCCAGAAGTCAGTTGGGGGGCCTGGGCAGTTGTCCAGGGAATGTCCTTCCCGTTCCTGGGGGCGGTGCTGACCAGCCCTGCCCCTCTCATCGTGCTCATCCCACAGGGTACTGTGGCCCACCTCCCCTGCGGGCTGTGCCCGGAGCAGCTGCCGTGTCCTGCACCTTCCGGTCCTAATCACCGTCACTTTAGCTGACAGTGCAGAAACCAGATTGAAGTTCTGACTCTTGGTTTCAGTAGCAGTTTTGTCCTGGACATTGGACGCTGCAGAGACCAGGCCCCCGCCTCAGACCGTGTCCGCAGCAGGGGCGCTCGCTAGCATCAGCTCCGTGGCTTGGAGTGCGTGGCCATCCGTGTGGGAATGCTTTGGTGGGCCCTGCCACCTGTGCTGCCCGGTCCTGGGTTCTGCCGCTGGCCCGGCCCAGGGCATGAGTCTGAAGGTTGATGCCGGCCGGTGCTGCCAGTGGGCTGCTCGAGAGAGCTGAGTCCTGCTCCTCTGTGGCTCTCGGGTAGGCCTCCTGCTGATCCACTGATCATCCATCAGTGATCACCCATTGATCATCCACTGGCCATCCATCCAGCAGAGCTCTGGTCTCTGGTTGTAGCGGGAAGTGAAGCGTGTCCTGGGGGGAGGGTGGTCAGCTTAGAGTTCCCGCTTGGCACAGCCCCCGTGGTCGAGCCTGAGCGTGCTTGGTTGAGGCAGACGGCGTGCTCAGGGTGAGACCCAGGAAACAGCGCATGGCGGGCGGGAGTGGGGGACAGCAGCCCCTCGGCTCCGGGGGTGGAGGCACGAGCCCCTTTCCCCCACCCCTGAACTTGCCCACAGAGCGCCTGACACTTTCCCTTGGTCTTGCAGGCTGCAGAGAGCTTCGACGGCGCGAGCGGAGAGACGCCGACCACGTCCCCTGCCATCCCGTGGGCCGCGTTCCCTGCAGGTAGGAACCCCGCGGCCGTGGCGCCCGTGGTCCAGGGGCGCCTCGTCCCTGCACCTGCTCCTGTCCCCCAACACACCGAGACTCTCAGGTGTCAGAGCAGGTGCTGGGGCCCCTGATGGCATCTGAAGTGGGAGCACGGTGCCGTGAAGGGAAACGCACGCTCCCGAGTCTGTCTGCTTGTCCAGGCTGTGGGTGGGCTGCCTGGTTGGCCGCCGAGGGTCTGCTTCTGCCCGACACCCAGCTTCTCGCCTCGGCCAGTGCTTGAGTGCCAAGGGGCCACTCGACGGTGCCACACACTGAAGGAAACTGACCGGATCAAGACCGGGAGGCTGGTTCTGTGCGATACTGTGTCCGAGACCCTGTGAGCACTTAAATTCCCAACCCCAGCACTGGCGATGGGATCAGTGACTAGTTCTGAGGGGAAACGCAGCTTGCAGGGGACCCTGTGTCAGATTGCTGCTTCTCAGCCCGCCGGGAAGGGGCCTGCTTGGGGGCAGATCTGAGGTGGGCTCCCGCCTCTCCCCCTGTGCGGCCTCTGCTCCGTGTCCTGGCCCGGCTGCACTGTCCTCCTGTCTCCCTGTGGCCCGACTGCCCTCCGCGCCCTGCCCCTGTGTCTCGTCTCCTCTGGGCGGGAAGGGGCGGCCTGGGTGCTGCGTTTCTTCCTTGCGGTGTGTCCCCACTGTGCGCCTTCTCCTCCGTACCACACGGCGCTCTCGGCATTGTTCCGTGGAGTTCCGTGCTGCGAACAGCCCTTCCCCATGTTCATCTTCCCGGACGTGTGTCTCGGGAAGTGGGTCCCCGAGTGGGTGCTGCTGGGGGTGACCTGGGGGCGGGTCGCCGGGCTGAGTTCCCGGGCTCGTCCTCGTCCTCATCGGGGATGCGGGTCCCCAGGGGTGTTGGCGCTGGTTTCTTTCCTCTGGGAAGGAGGCAGGGATGAAGAGCGCCCCCAGGAGGGAGGTAAGCTGGACCCCTTCCGACCCCGAGCCCTCACCCCTGCCCGCTGGCGGCCTGGCCCTTACTTCCCTGTCTGCCCATCTCCGGATGGCAGCTGTCAGTGCAGGGCTTGGTGACTGTCCTGTCACCTGTCTGCCCTGTCGCAGCGGGTCCTGTGGGACTCTGGGGGGTGTGAGGCGTGTGGCCGAGGTGGGAGGTGGTTCATCCTCCTGTTTTCCTCCACAAACGGTGTGTGTGTGTGTGTGTGTGTGTGTGTGTGTGTGTGTGTGTGTGTGATTTATGTCTCTTCAAGTGCCCTTTTCTCAGCGCCACTCTCATCTTTCTACTCCAGGCCAAACCTTGGGGTGTAGGTTGTGGGTTAAGCCTTTTGAACCTCAGAACCTGGAAGAGCGTTGTGGCTTGTTAAGAACCAGTGTTCTTGGGCTAGTGCTGAGTGAGTCAGAAGGAGAGGGCAGAGATAGAATGACTGCATTCATTTGTGGGATATTAAAAAAAAATAGTCTGAAAGTAACATCCAAGGCCAGGGAAAATGGGCCAGGAGGACTGGTCAATGGTTGGGAATGACCACAAGGGTGTTGGGGGGGTGGAGGGGAGTTAAGATAGAGGAGGGTCCGTTATGATCATAGGGAAATGACCCCTCTGGACAGGAACTGGGTGTTGAAAGTAGGTAAAGGGATATGCTTGATAACCTTTCAGCATCTGTATTGCAAATCATGATGCCTAAAATGAGAGAGAGAGAGAGAGAGAGAGAGAGAGAGAGAGAGAGAGAGAGGAAGGAAGAGAGAGAGAGAAGGAGAGAGAGAAAGGGAGGGAGGGAGAGAGAGGGAAGGAAGGGAGGAGAGAGAAAGAGAGAGAGAGAGGAGAGAGGTGCTTGCCATAGAGGCAGGCAGGGGTGAGGGGTCATTTGGGACTGGAGTGGGAGGGAAACTGAGGACACTGGTGCTGGGAAATCACACTGGTGGAGGGGTGGGTGTTGAAACACTGTATGACTGAAACCGCATCATGAACAGCTTTGTAATGCTCTCTCTCACAGTGTGTCAATAAAATAAAAAATTAATATTGAAAAGAAGAAACAGTGTTCTTGGTCCGGAGAGATGTAGTCATCAGGGAGGGCCCGTTCCTTGCATGCAGCTGACCCGGGTTCAATCCCCAACATCCCATGTGGTCCCGTGAGCACCACCAGGCGTGACCCCTGAGCACCGGCAGGAGTAATTTTTGAGTACAGAGCCACGAGCAAATAAATCCAAGCATTGTCCGGTACGGCCCCAAACCAACCACCCAACTAACAAAAAACCGAACCCCTCAACACCAAAAACAAAAGAAACCGCGTTCATGAATTATTGCTTGACGGTTAGCAGAGCAGATTTACTTGCAAGTAATTTTTGGATTCTTTTAAAAACGTTTTAGAGGGGCCATTAAATAGTGTTTAGAGATTATAATAAGTTGAAGGAAAGCCAGCCTAAGCTTCCCATAAAAGCAGAAAAATGTGGGAAATCTCAGATAATTCCTTAAAGATCGTTCAGAAGCCGTTTCCTCTGGGCACTCCTGAGCTCCCTGTGCACGCCCGGCCCAGCCTCGCGACTGGGGCCTCGGGGTTGAGAGGGGCCGCCCGGGACCCCCGACGGCAGGTGCAGCCCCTGCAGCTCCTTGGCGACCCAGGGGCAGAGGGAGATATTTCACGCCCAGATGTTGGGGGTCTGGAAGCGGTAGATGGTGCTTGTCCTACCCTTGTTTCTCAACATTTTTCTAAGGAAAAATTCGAGATTTTCCATAGCATAGAATACTTGGACTTCCTTAGTGGTACTCGTAGTACAATTTTTGTTTGTTTGCTTTCAGAGATCTTGGGGACTAATTTCTTGCTTTCAAAAATAAAAACCCTTGGGGCTGGAGTGATAGCACAGCGGGTAGGGTGTTTACCTTGCACCCAGCAGACCTGGGTTCGAGTTCCAGCATCCCATATGGTCCCCCGAGCACCATGAGGGGTAATTCCTGAGTGCAGAGCCAGGAGGAACCCCTGAGCATCACCAGGTGTGACCCAGAAAGCAAAAAAAAAAAAAAGCAAAAAAACCCCAAAAAACCACCTTACCAGTTGACTTGTACAAAAGTTTGTACAGCTGTCATGCTTTTTTTTTTCTTTCTTTTTTTTTTTTAAGTAAACTACTCAAAATCAGTGTCTCCTGAACCCTTGGGTGGGGTTAAGCGGAGCTCACCCCTTGCCGTCCCCCTGCCTAGGTGCACGCTGGGCCCCGGTGACCCTGGGCAGGGCTCTGGTGGGGTCAGTGTGCCTGGCACTGTTTCCTGGCTGGGGATCTGTGCCAGCATCTAAGTGGATCCCTGAGCCCATCGTCCTTCTCCTTCCGACCGTACTTGAGAGCTGGTGGGCGTCCGAGTGCCCTCTGCAGCGATGCCCTCCCTGCCGCCGGCCAGCCCCGAGCAGCGGGCACCTCCCCGCCCTGGCCCAGGCCTTGGCCGAGGCGCCGGATCCAAGCGTTGTCCTGCTGCCACTGTGTACAGTGTGGGTGGCACCTCTCCAGGGCACAGCGCCGCTCACTCTTTATGAATCGCCGAGGAGCGAGGTGGGAGGCTGAGCCTTGAGTCCTGTCCTTCCCAATCTGTGTCTGAGTCTCTCGCGGCGCTGCGCAGACCACATTAGAATGCATTGGTCATCAAAGAGAAAAACAAGTGGTCCAGAGAGATACTTTAATCCAAATTAGCTCCTTCAAAACAGCTTCTATGGAGGGCAAACGCGACTGTCTGTCACAAGCCGACCCTTTAGAAGGAATAATGGGAATCGGACCAGCAGATGTTGAACCCAGGCACTTAGATGTGGTTCACTTTGCATCTGGAGCTATTTGCATACAAAGCCAACAGGAAAGTTCAAACATTTTTCTCAAGACATTGGCAGAGAGAAACCTGGAAGACAGATGCCTTTTTGATTTCATGGTTCAGTTTTTCCATTCTCCCTTCTCCTGGCCAGGAAAACCTAGGACAACAAATCGGTCATTTTATTAATATCCCATTACTCTCCTCGCTAACCCTGTTTTTCCAGTAGAATCTGTGTTACACATCTACACGAGTTCAGAACCTGAGTCCACAGATTTTTGTTGGAGGAAAAAAAAATGTGGTGATCATTTAACAAAGATGATGCTTTGCACCCACCGATAATAGATTGGTAGATTTGGGGGGGGGGGGGGCGCTAATTTTTTGCTTTAAAAAATCAAAGCAAAAAATTGCTTTGATTTTTAAAAAAAATCAAAGCGAGCCCAAGTCCTCGGTCCCAACTCTCCCTGGGGTGAGATCTGAGGGTGACTGGCTCCCCGTTCTCACACCTGCAGGGCCGGGAAACTCTCTCTCTTCCCGTCGGCCGCGTGTGCACGCACCGGGCAGGCAGGACCAGCAGGGTGCTGAGTGCCTGCTTCTTAGTCAGGGCTGCAGGGGAGCGTGGTCGCCGGGATGGCCGGTTGCTCCTTTGCCTGTTGTTCATTTTAGTTAGTTTTCTTAAGGGCTAATGAAACTGTATATCACACGGCACTTGTCCAGTTGCAGGTTTGGTAAATACAAACCCTTTTGCTGGGAGGATGCGTAAAATGGACATTGATGTCAAATATTCTAGAACAAGAAGAACTGATTCAGGTATATTTTAGTTCAGCTTTTTGTAGGGGGAGGTGTTTGCGCCACTTAATTTGTGTGTGTGTGCGCGTGTGTGCACGTATATGTGTGTGCGTGCATGTGTGCGTGCGTGTGTGTGCGTGTGTGTGTGTTCGTGCATGTTTGTACGTGTGTGTGCGTGTGTGTGGGTTCGTGCGTGTTTGTACGTGAGTGTTTGTGTGTGTGCATGTGTGTGTGTTTGTGCGTGTTTGTACGTGCGTGTTTGTACGTGAGTGTTTGTGTGCGTGCGTGCGTGTGTGTGCGTGTGTGTTTGTGCGTGTGTGTGTTCGTGCATGTTTGTACATGAGTGTGTGTGTGCGTGTGTGTGGGTTCGTGCGTGTTTGTACGTGAGTGTTTGTGCGTGTGTGTGTTTGTACGTGCGTGTTTGTACGTGTTTG